TCAAAATACATTTAAAACAATAATCCAAGTAATGCTAATACTCCATTGCAACTAGCTACAAAGTCAAAGCTTAAATGGGAAAACAGAAGCATATTAAAAAATATACCAAAGCAGAACTGCCCTGCACCCTGCTGAGACCAAGAACAGACCAGATGCAGAGACATMATTTACTGCATCAGCAGCCAGCATTGTTCCCAACAGCAATGGAAACCTTCATAGGATGCGGCCTTAGAGCATCCAGAATCAAAGGTTGTGTGTTCTCTTGGAACAAGGAGTCAGGATTCAGGAAAGGGACAGTGAACTTTGCATCAAATGAGAAAACAAATAGACAAATAGCCTTAAACAATTTCATGAGAATTAAGTTTCCCTTCCCTCAGGTGTGTTATAAACTTATAGGTTTTATATTTTAAGTTGTTACAGCAAGAGATAGATTTGAAAGGCTTTTAAATTTGTGTGTTCGTAATTAATTTCTCAGTTGCTCAACAGGGGCAGAAAACAACAGACAAGGTTTTAAGGGCAGCATCTTCACATGGAAATCACCCCATCAGTCTTCATACTGAAGCCAGTGGCTTACATTTTTGCTCTCTTCTTATTTCCAACGACACATCAACACACGATCACTGCACACAACACACAAAGCACAGACATGTCCAGTTCAAACCCTTCAGTTAACACCTCTACACAGTGGCAAATGCCAGCATATTGCCACATGAAAGACTAGATGTATTACACAGATGTGGACCACATCTTCCTCTTAGTAGCCAAATCTCTCAGACTACACTTGTAAACCTTTTTCTCCACTAAGACCAGGTCATTGCTTGAATTTCTCAAAAAAAAAAAANAAAAACTAATCAAAAGGAAGACTGAAAAAAAATCAAGCATATAAAAAGCGAAACGAGGACCATGTTCAAAATTAAAGATGTTCAGGGATTTGTTAAGAGAGGTACATTGGGATTTGCACTGCAGTATTCAGATGTGGCACCGGATTAAGCCTGAGCAGAGACCAATTTAATCCTGAGTGACTATGTCTACACCTGGGCTTAAACAGCTGAATTTATCTATCTTAAATGCACATATTCAATTAATATGGACTTTTTTTCTTACTGGTCTAATCCCAAGGAACCCTGAAGAAGTTATCGCACAAAAAGTGATAGTCCACTTGAAGTAAAGTTTTTTACAGTAGAATACTCGATCAGAAAAATATGCAAGAATATTTTTATTTTCTTATAAAGAAAGAAATAGCAATAAAACGTCTTCATATTGTATCACCTTTGGGGAAAAATGTAGTTAGCTCCCACTGGCTGCTGGACAGGTTCATGCTTTCAGGGCTAACACAACTGTTAGCACAATTCCTTTTTGTCACACTCGGGAATTTCAGTCAAAGAGTAATAGTTTTTATTTATTAGATTAACATCATGCTGAGGTAAGGAAGGAAGCCCAGGCCCGTCACTGGTTACTTCACAGATAATTGGAAGCAACCAGTATTACCAAGTTCAGGTAAGCATTAGAACTTATCTAAGTATTAGATAGTATAATAAAGACATGGAAGACCTACCAAATGCAACACTTGCTGAGTTAGTGCTAACTTTCATCCAGTTTTAAGTGACTACATGCAGGCAAAGGGACCATTCTGCATTCAGTCTCTCATGCTGGTATTTAAATGAAGCTAGTAAGTAGCAAATGCCTAATTTCCTCAGGAGAATTATGCACAAGTACTATCAGTGCAAATAAGAAATATACATGTATGAATAAAACGAGTTTCAAAGCAGCCCAGAGCTGCTGGCAGGCTGTCCAAGAGCATAAATAAAGGTGCTGCCTTCTCACCATGCAGAGTAGTTCACATGCTATCCATTTCCATTACTGTATGTAGCTACTGCAAGAAATTCAACTATTGTACCACCTGTTTTGCATTGTATTTTGTSTCAACCAGGCATTTCAATTAATTCTACCTAAAAATTCCCCCATACCTTTGATCTCTTCAGGTATTAACATAAACCTCAAAGGACCTTGAAGGATAGAAGCTGTTCAACTTATGCAGTGAGAAATCACCAATGTTGATCAAATACCAYAATAAGCCAATTTTTTCAAAGACAAAATATATTCAGTTCAATCAAAGACTCCAGTAAATAAGAGACTTCTTCTCCTTGCTAACACACCTAACTGAAATGAAATCTGGAAGGCATTTCCACATGTTCTACTCAGCACATGTGCAGGTGGGTGTCTGTGTTCCACGACATTGYAATTGGTCCTTGTGCATCAACACCTCACAAGGCTGGAAGGAACACATAGAGGTCAGGGAAAAACCTTTTTATCCAGGTACATAAAGACACTAGGACAATGGTGTGCTCCCTCTTGGTGACTGAAGCAATTTGATTTCCTATCTGGCAGTGACTTGACATACACTTGTCACAGACTGCAGTGGAGTAAACTTTGGGATATCCTTGTGTTTTGAGTAAAAGGCGGATTTTATGACCATGCAATGCCACACCACCTCTGTTTCAGTCACACTGCATTTATTCAGTGCTATGACAACTGCTAGTTCCTTATGTTCCCGGGAGAGAATAGGACAAAAACTTCCAGCCTCACAACATTTCAGTTAGTTTCTCTGCTTTTATTAACAAGCATATAATATTCATTGGCAAAACACTGGATACAAGCTTCACTATCATAAAATCAAAACATTAAGCATTAATCCCCAAAAGGCTTATTCAGACAAAACTAGCCACCAGTAGTACAGAAGTTACACAGCAACACAAAGCATAAAAAATTGTAAACTTTTAAATGAAGCTAAGCCAAAAATATGGTTTTACACTCTGACAGTTTCAGAATCTTTTTTATGCCACATATGAGGATAAAGGCTTAGTGGTTGCACTGGCTAATTGTCCCTTAACTGCAAAATAATCCRTTGCAGAAGGAAAGAAAAAACTTTCCTTTTGTCCAGATAAGTCACTTGAATTAAAGATTTCATCAAACCAATACTTTTCAGTTTCAAACAGAAATAACAAAAATAGCGGAACATCAGTATTCAAAACTCAGGACTTCTTCCTTCAGGCATACCTACCCATTTGCATGAATGATCCCATTGGTTTCTGTGGAACCACCCAAATTAGTAATTTTACCAATGTAAATGTTCAGAGAATTGGACATGTAGTTCCTATCTTACCACCGGGACATGGACAGGTCATTGTAGCTTCAAAAGATTTCCAAAAAGCTCTAAATATCATAGAATACGGACCAAATAGTAGAGTCATATCTTTAATTTATATAAAAATAAACAGGTAAAACATTATCTGTTGACTTGCCACAAGACCCAAGTTCCTAGATATTTTTTGTCCTGATACAAGTTTTGATTAAAGCAGAGATGGAGTCATTGTTCCATGTTCTTTAATGTTGTTTTCTGCTGCCTTTTCTTCAACAACAGATCTCAAGAACTAAGCAACATTTAATTGTATCTCATGCAGGGAGACTCGTGTGTGGAACAATTTCTTTCCCCTTTAGCAACTTTAGGCAGACTGAAATTGCATTAACATTTTCAAACATCCAAACWGAAGTGATTACCTGAGGAAAAGCAGAAACTTGATTTTTCTGTTCAGTAAAGCCTTCTGTACAAAATATGTATTAAGATTCATCTCACTGATGTACAGACTGGTTGGCTTTTTCCTACTTTATTTATCTCAATGTAATATGCAGAATACTGTAAAATAGCAAGTTATATTTATCATCTAGTAAAAAAAAAGTCTGTAGATCCCCTAGGACTGTGTTGTTACAAAGACAATAAGAGCCAGACGAGCTTTCAAAGGCTCATAGCCTATTGGAAAAAATAGCACCATCATAGTTGTAGTCTGATATTTTTCATGATCCCATATCTCCTGAGGTGACAGTGTTGTGTATACTATTGCACAACCAGTAAAAAAAATATTCCCAGGTTTGATGGTACACAAATATACCAGACCTAACAATGGCACAAAACATTTTCAGATAGGCTGCAAGTCTTGTCGATTGCTTCCACAATTCACATTAAGGTTTCTTGCAAGATCATTTATTTTAAAATATTGCTGACAGATAGTTCTTGTACTTACACAATTTTTAAATCCCCCATTTCACTCTTAAAATAAAAAATGGAACAAAGCAAAACACACGTACACCCACCCCCAARTAACAGCCCCAAATAAAATTCCATTTGAACAAGAGAGAAAAGCCATCTACATTCCTTTTATATGTAATGGTAAGTAGATGCTACATTTACAATTTAAATGTATGCCTAATAAATGCATGTTTCAAACCTATTGCACAAAAGCATAAGTAATGCTCTTTATCCATACAAAACAAAAACATACAGATGAAAGCTACTCAAACTCAATGCAAAGGAAGAAGCTTGTAAAAACATCTTACAATTTCATTTTATATGCCCGTAAATAAAGCTGGACCACTAAAACCAAAAATACTTGGATGGTAAAATAAGACAGAAGGCTTAAAATAAAATAAATAATTTTATAAAGTTAAAATTTAAACCCCCAAATCTTATTTAATTCAGTATTATATATTCTATCTGAATTCTTTATTTTTAATTAAAGTATACTTAGTGAGACCCTGAATCCAGGTGATTCATCAGTCTCACTGCTGCTGAGGATAATGCAACAAGATACTTCCTTACTGCAATTATTTACCAGCGTAATAAATTGTAAAAACTACTTCGGAGTAATAGCATCTTCACAAAAGCCAAAATAAACTAACATGATCTCACCAGGACTAAGAAATATCGATGGCCAAGTCCAAATTTTAGTTCAACCTTGCAGTATCAGGCTTACTTTACCCAATATAATCTTGTTATAAATTCACTGTCTCGTAAGTGTCACAGAAATGAAACAAGGCTCTGACCCAAAGAAGACCTTGCTCTGCATAGTAGTCTTTCAGTGAGACTAACATATGGTGTAGTCACAGTCACATCACTCCCGAAGAAAATTTCTGTAGTGAAGATGTTATCACATGTGATTTAGATAAATGAGTAACTTTGGAGTTTTATGTTGATTTGTGGGGTTTTCTTTTGTTGTTTGGGGTTTTTTTGGGTTTTTGGGTTTTGTTTTGCTTTGTTTTTTACTGGTGCGGTTTTATCAGATTAAACACATTGCAAAAGCAGTTACACACAATTACAAGCAAAAACCCCAGCTATAGGTATTAATACTGGCTTGAATTTATGTATCCATATAGTTATAAACAGTTTTCTATATACTGATAGCACCATAACAAATTCAAGTGATTCTAAAGATGGTTATAAACTTATAGGTTTTATATTTTAAGTTGTTACAGCAAGAGATAGATTTGAAAGGCTTTTGAATTTGTGTGTTCCTAATTAATTTCTCAGTTGCTCAAGTACACAGGGAAATAATAAATCCCAAGGTACCTTAACAGCACTGCGTCAATATCTAGTCATACAAAAGGTTTCTGCAGTACACACACTCTGAGGTAGACAGATCTCATTTATATGTGTATATGTATATATATATATATTTGTTTTTATGTGTGTGTGTGTATATATATATTCTGATTAAGGTGGTTAATCAGATGCTGTCTGGCAGCTTTAGTTTTATGTCTACATCAGGTACAGCCACTGTGTGTATACTCTGGGTGCACAGTCCTTACAGTCCTGCTCATATTCCCAGTGGCAAAGCCAGCCTCCTATTTACACTAGAACAGTAACAACCACATAAAAAACAGCTCCAGAAAGGCCCAGTATGTCAGCTTGTGTACACATCCATACCATTCACTGTTTTCATGGAAAGTTTTAAAAAAGGCAGACACATCATCTCATTTGTTCTTTTCTGCCAGATGAAGCAAAGATTGAAAAAAGCTAAAAGTACACATATCTGAGTCCACAAACAGCAAGACAAAATCAGAGCAACGTTTGATTCCATGAATCACAGACATGCACACACAAATGCCACATAAGAACCAGATGTGGAGTTCTGTATAACCTAAACATTCAAATGCAGCTATCTTACTTTCACCTGCAAGGACAGCAGCGTGTTCCGGCCTCTGTGTGGCTCTCCTTTCCATCTCCACAATTCAGCAGGCTTTCTTTCATTCTCTGCTCACATACTTTTTTTATTTCCTTCCTATTCACATCTGTGACTGTAATCAAAAATAAGGAGCCCTGTTTCCAAAGGTAAGCACGAGCAGCAACAGAGCTGGGAAAGGAGGACTGACGACTCCAAAGAAGGAAATTAAGGGACATGCTGAGGAACATAGTGCTTTGAAAACTCAAGAAGTGGAAGAAGATTTAAAATGTTTAGATAAATCTCTTGCAGTACCAGCTTCTGGTTATCAAGTAACACTTTCTAGCAGAAGAGGAAGCAGGGCTTCTTATCCAAAGACAATTTACCAAATAAAAACAGTGTCTAATAATAGGAATAGCAACTAGCATTTTCAGCTGACAGGAAAACTCTTCCAAAAATTAGGTTAACTATTTCCAGCTGGCAATAACAGGGCATAGACTGTTTTCAACTACTTGACACATGTGCCAGACAAATGTTCTCACAATCATACTATATCTGCCATAGTGGATACAGCTTGCAGAAATCACTTTCAACTACTATTTTTAAAAATCCAATTATTACAAAAAGCCTTACAAAAAGTGCAGTGAGCCTGCTAAGTGCTATTGAGGGTGCTCTCTATAACCCTATATATAGTTATATGTGTATATAGATGTATGTACCCATACACACATGAATGTGTATTACCTTGCATCCTTTAGGGCTGATGCAAGCAAAATTATTAGTTAAGGCCAAAAGGTGCTAAAATAGTCTGACTCCCCCTTCCTCCATCCCAAGTGAGCTAGGAATTGCAGTAAGGAAAATGCTATGGTTTCATAAGAAAGCAGCTACAGAAATATAAAGCTGCCCACAATATCTGAGGAAGTTTTGATCAGTGAAATGAAAAATCTGCCGTACTCCCAGTTGCCCAGGAGCCACTGTTTCAACGGCTAGTGATAGTAAATTCTCTCTAAATTAAAAACTGATTTCTGCAAGCCACAACTACATAAGAAATGTTTCTTTTTTAAGAAATTCACGAATCTAGCACTTGTGAGTATTTGTCATTACGTGGTGCAATTTATACCATAGCAAAATATATATCACGGCACATTAAAATCAACTGAAATTATTTCTTACCAAATTAACACATATACAGAAATATCAAAACTTAATATAAAACACAAGGTAAGGGAGAGAAATAACTGGGCAAAAATGACAAATTTATTGGTTTCCCAGATTTTCTTAAGTTTTCAATGCAGCATAATAAATTATCACCAGTCACTGTATTATTAGGTATGTTCAATGCTCTACAGAATAACTTGAATAAAGCCAATGCAATCAGGCATACTATATAAGACAATAACACTTTGCAAAAATATAGTTTTTAAAGATTTAGAATGCGAAAAGTAACTAAATGCAACTTGGTGTCAAAAGCAACATATTTATATCACCCCACAACACTCTAACTTTTTTTTTCTGTGTAACTGTAAGAGACAAATCAGGCTGAGCTACATGGAACTGTGAAGTGTTTTCAGTATCTGTAAACTTAATGCTGGTAGTGTCTTGCTGAGTTGAGACTTCTTTCTTCCGTACAAAAAAAGTATAAATATTTTCTGCCCAGAAGTCTAGGTAATGCATCCCTAGAAGAAATTTTCAGGACAGTCCATTATGAAAGCCCTCCAGTCTTCCAAAATTATTCAGCTGGTTTGTGTCATGTGATTAGTGACGCACTAAGAAGGTGCCAGATGATAGTCTCTGCAAAAAGCTCTGTCCAGAAGGACAATAAAGTTCCCTTACAGCAAGTCCATTTTGGGTCTATAATGTAGCAGTAGAGGTGCTTTCTGAAAGACAGAAATACCAGTAAGTTATGAAACAAACCCAGAACTAATCTGTTCAGTAGGAAAAACTTGTGAAGCTTCAAGACGAGAGCAGCTATCTGATCTGTTAAAAATTCACCAAGACAAAGACAAGGTGAATCTTCATCTGTAGGGCTCAAACAAGAGATAAAAAACCCTTTCTCCTTTATCTCAGGAGCAAACCTGTTCATCTTGGAAAACTCCCTCAAGTAAGGAACATGTCTAGAAAGCAGCTTTAGAGTATGTGGTACTTCACATTTAACAGCTCTCACTTGATTCTTCTTTTGTGAAAGTATCTATTGATTTTTTTTTTAATGAATAGGTAAACTTCTAACAATGAAAACATCCTGCACCACGGAGCTAGCTCTGTGTCTCATCAAAACGATTACGTCTGCTTGTTTCCTCTGGGCCWCCTACATCTCATTTTCGTTTTACATCCCCCACTTCTTTCACTTGGAAAGGCAGTTTACAGTTCTATTTTCCACMTTTTCCACAATTACACAGATCTCCCTGAAAAAGTTGAAGAGCAGACTGTACAGATGCACATCAATTTGACGCTCCTGTTTGGTTTGGCTGCTAAGCCACAAAACCCTAACTAGCATTGCATCCCTTTATCTATCACTAAATTCAACTTCAGTTGTTTGTAAATCACCTGTCACTCATAACTGCAAAGGCTTTGTCCAGTACCTTACCATCAATCTGCTACTAAGCTAAATAATGACAATGCTGTCACTGCACTGTTCATGAACTATTTCAAACCCATTCCCAGGTCGTTCAGAAACACCATATGAAACAGATTCCACTCATGGCATCCCTGCATTTKTAACACCATGGACTTTATCCTGTGACCCTTACACAGGTCAATTATTTTTCAACTGCAAGACAGAAAAATGCTTTTCTATTCCCACAAGGACCTCTTCTAAATAKGCACCCAAAGCCATCAAGTGATTTCACCTCAGTATACACAGTATGCTCAGAATGCATTGCTCTTCCATTTCAAATATTAACTTCTTGTTCAGATAACCCCATGTATACATACATACACYGACCCTGTTCAGGGCTGACTTCCCTCCCAGATGCTCAGTTTTGCTATTCATTCTTATATCTTGAAAAGGTTAAAAAAAAMCACTTTCTTGTAGCTTCCACTTCCTTTGCCAGACTTGATAATAATTGGACAGCTAACGCAATGTACCCTCATCTCTTGCAATGAATACTTAATAATCCTTTCCTTCATCTACTGGAAACAAATACTTGGTGTCTAAGGATGCTGTAGTAGATATTTATAAAAGTATCTTTTTATTGACTTATAGTTCCAAATTATTGCTATTTTATAAACATTTTATTTGGCCACTTCATGATTTACTTGGAACCATTGTGTCATACCTTAAATCTCCATCTAGTAACAACTACAAACTTGAGCGTGTGGTCCTTGCCAAGAATCTCTTCATTGCATAATATGTCCAGCTGACAAAATAAAGGTGACAGTTAATTCACTGGGGCCCAGTACATCAAACAACATATTTCACATAATAATACACATTTGAGAAGATACTGGAACTGGTAATCTTGCAGTTGACCTGCATACAAAAATAGTACCAGGAAAGAAAAGATAATATCTGCTCTCAACATGAAGTACTGAAAGACTATGTCAGCACCTACCTGGGAAATAAAATATGATCCGGACTTAATTGTTTGATTTCTCTTTCTAAGCAGTATTAAACCCCTTAAAAAGCTTTACATGGTTTTAAAAAGGTTGAATAAATGAGCAAGGAGACAGAAATCTCAAAGAGAAATGTTATTTAGCTTATTTAGCGTTGAAATTGTTTTTAYCTAACACCATTTGGCTGGCATTATTACAAGGATACATTTAAAAAAAAAAACCCTGTCTGCCACATACTCATATGCYATATTTATGGGGGTTTTGCAGATATTCAATATGTATTTTCATTTTCTATCTCAGTTTTGAAAAATCTTGATATCAGAAACAGTGAGGATCTCAATATAAAAGCTTGAGGATCATATGACTACTGATCAGCTGAACTACACTAAGTGAATATGAACTAAAACGAGGGAATATGCATGAAAACAGCAAGTTCCACCAAGGTGGCTTTTATCACAATGCTTTATCCCACAGTCCRGAAAGGCCTGACTGTGCATGCAGTCCACTTAACATAGCAGTAGCTCAAACCTGTAATAGTCTGTATCAAGCAACCAAGTACCCACAAGCTTTAACTGTTTTTCAATGTTACTTGGTACTGGTACAATGATTACAACAACATTTATGTACCTTTTAAGAAGGTAGAAAGGGATAGCAAAGGAATAAATGATATGCCTGAAACCAATTCCTCCAGAAAAAAGTCTCCAGTAAAAGTATGTTTTTAAGTCATGAATTGGCTCAGTGCATTGGAGGGCTTATACATGCATGTACCAAACTAATGCATTAAACAAAAAAACCCTTTTGAACAATCCTTGTATCTATGCAGCTGCTGGGCTAAAACCAGAAGTGAGCCACTTCTGAGCCAGCAGAGAACAAGACAGGATACACCACTTTGTTTCAGAAAGACCAGCTAAGTTTGGGGACATACTTCAACCATAAGATAGCGTTATTTTAAAGTGTACAGAAATTATGAAGGAAAAGTGATACAGATGTAAATTAGCTATTGACAAGTTTGAGCAGAAAGGTGTTGACACACTGGACTAGAAAGCAGGTGTCTGATTTGAATGAAAAGTCTAAATAAAACTCAGTGAATCAGTGTAGTAATGTGGAATTGAGAGATGTCAAGTTGAGAGTCAACTGGGATGTTCAGAGACTGTGACCAAGATCCAGCCAAGTGATAAAGAGATGTTGCAGTCATAGTTTGCCACTGATAATTTTTGAATCTGAACTAGGAGAAGTGCAAAGTATTGCCTTTTGTTCTGTACCTTTATCTTAAATTCTTCCCATGACTCCCTGTAAAGACAGGGAGAAGTAGGCATCTGATAACACTGGTTGTGGTAGACAGCAACTTCAGATTGAGCTTCAYTAAGAGCAGAGAAAACAAGTACAAATACAAAGTATTTGTAGTGTTTTCCCTTCAACTGGGCTTCAGTAGTGTGTTTATTACTGCCTGGCCCCCGCACAGAGTGCAAACTTCCTGCAACAGTGGGGATAACCTCAGCTACAATCTATCAAACAAATTGYTCAAACATGTGGAAGCACATAACCAAGCCTTTAAGCTGAACTATTTACAAATGCACATGAAAAGATGCATGCAAACTAAGTGAAAAGTCCTGTACATATATATATGGCTATATAATATATAATTCAAGGAACAGCATATGTTACTGTTTCCTGAAAATAAAATCTGAATAAAATACATTCCTTTGCAAAGGCACAAACCCTCCCCTTTGAAGTTTTGTATCTATAAATTTATTTTTTAAAATTAAAATATTACCTCATTAAAAGAAGAAAGGTTGAGTTTTTTGGCAATGAACTTCTTTAGATGCAAGACTGTTGCTTGTGCTGAGCAACGAATCCATTTTCGTTTCAATCCACGCAATTTGCTACTATTGCACTCCAAGCAGATGCTCACCTTCAGGAAAAGGCAAACAATCAAGAGCAGGCTGGAACAATTTTCTACAGTTCTCCATTATGTATTCTACRTGCAGTTTTTACTAGTACAATAAAGTGAAGTACAATAGTTTCTTTAAACTGAAATGCCTAACAGAAACCTCACATTCCCTAAGATCTTGGAATCTGAGTGGTAAGTAATAGACAAAAATGTTCAAGTAGTTATTTTTGATGTCAGGACAAGGCTGCTTCAGTCCAAAAAGCTAAAACAAGCAAACAGTCAGAAAACAATTACCAATTCTTAATGACTGCTTCTAACATCACTTCTTACTTCTAATGCAACTGCTAATCTAGTTTAATTTTAACACATTTGAAAAGAATGAATACAAATGATATGTTTTTTTTCAAATTCTCATTTTTTTCCTATCCAGCTATTCATTGCAGTTTAAGCTCTTTGTGATAATATACTTTTATGTACTAGGAGGATGTAGGAACAAGTACAATACCTTTGAAAGCTCGCTTACATGACAATTGAAAAGAAAATTAACCCAAGCTGAAGTCACTCTGGAYACACTTAACAGGAAAACATAAAAGGGATAGTTTGTTTACCCAAAAAGAGCTTTCACTTTCAAACAATCTTTGTGTTTAAAACTTAAAAATGTACTTTCTTGCTTTTGTGCTRTTTTTATGATATAGGGCTAACACTTAGTACTAAAGGCTGAAAACAAAATATGTAGTAAGAGTGCCATTAGGGAAACTTCCCTGACCATCCATGAGCCACTCTGGCAGTCACATTCGCACCACTTGAGCTGGGAGTGAAGGCCCCTCACAGCTACACCCCCCACACTCACAGTCAGACCAGAATTCCTTACCAGTTCAGCTCCAGGTTTCCCATAGCATATTCTCAGATATCCAGGTCCTTCAAACTGCTTAATCATGGCACAATAACTAAATACCAACATCTTGAGCTGGTGCCTCTGAGGAGGCACCTGAACAAAGGAGCAAAGGARYCCCTGGGCTTTTATACCCTCACAGCACCAAACTCTGGGGATCTTGGCTCCTGCTGCGTCTCAGTGTCCAGTTCCCTGGCTGGTGCCACAGGTCCTTCTGRCCTTTCTTGTGCCAAGGGTCAGCAGTTCATGACCTCTTGCTTTGGGCTCCCACACAAAGCTCAACCTTCAGCTCCCACTACAGCTGTACCCTGAGCTACGCCCACTGAATGTGCTAACATTGCCAAGGGTTAGGCTCATAATTAGCTATACACATTCAGCTCAATGTACCCAGGTAACACTCTGTAGAAGGAGGCAAAATTACATGTATTTGTTTTGAAAGCAAATAAATACTCTGGAAACTCAGTCAGAACTATGAAATCTTAATGCAAATGTCTTTAATGTATTCTCCATTCCTGCCAAAACACAAAGATAAAACCTCATGCTTACAAAAAACAGATTACACAAACTGCACCTTGTTTGTATCAGAGAATAGAAAAAATAGCTTGAAATAAGCTTATTTTCTTCTGTTAGATTATCAAAGTTACCTTACCAAAGCACAACAGCTAAAATACATAATAAAACTAGAACATGTCCTATGAGCTCACCTGTTCATCACTTCGGTGGTAGTCATTATCTTCTTCCTGTTTTTCCTCCGAAGTTTCTTTATTTATATTTTCATCTGCTTTAGTTTCACCTTAGATTAAAAATAACAGATGGGATAATATACATTATTTTTATATATAAACCCCAGATACACTCAGCTTATAATGCTAAAAAATTGACACTTCAGGATTGCAGTATAGAATAAACTTTGCTATTCCCAAATTGTGCTTATCAGCTCAAGCAACACTTGCAGCCAACAGCCCATGACATGAAAGAGAGGACCACCTATRGAGTTCAGCTCCTAGCAGCCCAGAAGCTGGGTAATTTCACAGTCCCCATGTAGGCACTACCATGGAGACTGACTTTGCCACAAGCAACATGCTATTAACTGCTAAAAACAAAGATGCTGCACATAAGTAAGGGACAAGGCAACAATCCTATGATGACTCTATTCCTCACTGTTCGAAACAATTGTGACTGTTACATATAGCAACTGGGCACACCCTTTCAACAGATCTGTTTATTAATTTACTAGCCATCACCCACCAAAGACAGAATAAATAAAGGACTATTTACCATTTCGATGAGAATCTAGGTGCTGTTTTGTAGAACATGTCTCCCCTTTGATGTCCCCTGGAACTTCCATGCCCAGTTTGTGATAAAATTCCCTTTGCTTTTTCATTTCCGCTGTTTAAAATTGCAAATATTAAACACTGTAATAAAGTTCTAATGCAATATTTATGAAGTTATTCCAAATCCTTTCCCACTTAAGGACTGCCAGCAAATGGTGGTGGAGTCTTTATTTACTATCTTCTATCTCTGGTATTGCATCAAGTCATGACTCATCCTGTTTTTCAGAGTTAGAACAGCATAAAGTCATCTGTACAATTATTAATATACCATTACTGCTAGAATGAGACTGTATTTAAAATACTGTAGCTGATTTTGAATATCCCCCATTTTGAATATGACAGTATTTCAGTCAAAATATTTTTTAATTTTTATTTACAGTTCTGATTTTCAACATCCTAGAAATAATTTTTAAATAACCTATTTAATCTTATTGATATTTGAAAATGCTCTGGTTAAAAAAGCAGCTTAAATGGATTAAAATACTCTATTTAAATGGAAATTTTAACATACATTAAGACAAAAAAAAACCCCTGAGTAATTTTTATAAAGTATTTCTTTAGTTAAACAGATTTAGTGTCGAAGAGGATTACAAGAACAGAAATTGAAATTTCCCTGACAAGAAAGAACTTACAGAATAGCAATTTTGCATTGCATTTTACCTCTGAGAATTCTAGAAAGCTTGCACAACAGGTACCCAGTTTAACAAAAACAAATTAGAGCCAGGGTATGGCAACATTTAAAAGCTGCACAACTATTCYGCTTTACATAATACTGCTTTTGGAAGAAATAGCCCATGTTGCCTACTACCACCCCCACATTCAATTGCTGCTAGTACAGGTAGGAAAGTAAATTAACTACTAAAAATTATACAAGTGAAAGAATCTGATTTTCCGTTGTATTTTTCCTTAGTTGCCCCCCTCCTCTTTTTCATCACTTGTCACTTTCTTTTTTTTAATGTTGAAGAAGTATGTGCAAACTGACCTTTAAAAAGGTCACAACTTACCTTCTTGGAGGCCGGGCACAAGTTTGTAAACAATATCTTGCATTGTTCTGTCATGACTAGCAAGAAAAAAAAGCAAAATCAAAAGCCTAAGTTCAACATCTTGATTTAAAACATTTCTCTTTAAACAGCCCCAGTACTAATCATATGAAAAAATCTTTAAATTCACCTAAGAAGAATTTTACTTCTGAAATCGATATTTCTATCAAGCCAGAAAGGACAGTAACATAAAATAAATCATGCAAAGTGCAAGCTAAGATGGAAAACAAATGAAAGTTTGAGAAAAGAGCAGTCTGTGGATGAAATCACCCCACTRAATATGGCCTTCTGCATCAAGACAAATATGTCACTAAAAATCTAAAGTTCTTTTACAACAGCGATAAACTAATTTTTATCACAAAAGAACCAAGGATAGCTTGTTTCTCACCCCTATAGGCTAATATCTCATGTTTCTAGATTAGTTACCTTTACCAGGATTCTACTAAAATGCAAGAGAACAGTTCACAGATAAAGACCACAACAACTAAATTTTACTTTGTTCTTAAAAGCAACATTATAACTGTGAGAAACATTATGTAGCTAAGTAGCCTGTACAGGTAGTATGCCTCAAATAAAAAAAAAAAAAGGCAATAAACCCACTGAAAGTAGAACAGTAGGGCGGTTAAGACTCTAAACTTTAATTCGCACTCACCTAGAAAAAATACTGTTCTAGTCTAAAATAAGTCATTGTCTGAAAGAAGTATTTTCTTAAACTCCAATTAATAGATAGTACAGGAAGTATTTCTGACTTGAACAGGAAAGGCTTACAAGAGTAATCTCAGGCTTCTCATCACCTTACATGAGCACTTCACAGCAGTGGAGATCAATGAGTAAGTACAGAAATGGTGGCAAATCAAGACATTCATAAACAGTAATTACAATATTTTAAGCACTGCAACAAGATTCACAGTATCTTTGATTCTAAATTTACACTATTTTGACCAGTAGCAATCCCATTTGTAGAGGCTGGGATCATCAAATGTCACATGTGGACTGCAGACACATTGCCAAAAATACTTCAACAAAAATACGTAAATAAGGTATATTAGAGGTGATGATTTTGGGTTTGGAAGTAGATGATACAGATGATCTTTAAGGTCCCTTACAACTCAAAAGAATTTTAAGATTCTATGATGCTATTTAACAGTATTTAGAAATGTAAAAAAGGAGTCAACATTTGGTTTATCTATTTTCCAGACAGAGAGAAATGAACACAAGTTCAAATCTACATTTTAAGACATCTTGTGAAACTCCACACAGTCAATTATTTATTTAAAAATACAAGTAAATATATCCAAAAGTAGGCTGGACAAAAATATAAATAAATATATCCAAAAGTAGGCTTTTTCAGTTTTGATAGGGCAGTATTTTACAACTAGCTCAAGCAGCTTACTTAAGTGTATTCAGCAACAGAAAACAACCAACTAATTGCCTTCTAGCAGTTCTCAATGTCATGCTGTTTCCTGGCTCCTTTTCGCACAGAAAACAGGTTTTGGAACCAAGGCAAAAACTATGGTATCCTACATGTCATTCGTTTATTCTTGCCTATTTGCATCTAGCTGTCCCTTTAATTATACCTTCATACAGAATATTATCAGTGTATTATAAAAAAGTAGTGATAGCATAACTAATTTTGGGCTCCTGAATGAGCATGAGCTCGAGCACTGTGTGCACAGAATAGTGACAGTTTTCTGTAAGAGTGAAATCAAGAYTCATTTGCTATAACCATGGCTTCCTAAGTTGTTATAGAAATGGGAAAGGCACATGGAAAAATGCTAAGGAGAAATGTAAGCTCTTTACAAAGGAAGACAAAACACTACTTGATATGCAACAGCTAATGCAGACACACCATCACAATGAATTTTCATCAGAAGAGTCACTACATGGCAGTAAAATGAAAAGAAAGCACAAGGAAAAGAAAGGAAGTGTCTTCTGAAAACAAAAGGAGGAAAAAAACAAAAAAAAATACTCAGTGTAAATGCAATTTGACTATGCAAAAGCATATGGAAAATAAGGAGGTGACTGGGAACAGCCAACATGGGTTTCGCTAAAAGCAAACAGTGATAAATTTGCTGGTCTTCTATGATGAGGTTACAAAGGAATGGAGGAGAAAATCGTGACTCATGCCATCTACCTGGACTTGTGCAAAGCATTTGATGCTGTCACGCACAACATCGTTGCCTCTAAACTGGAGAGATGTGAATTTGGCTGATGCAGCCCTTGGTGGATTAGGAACTGACCAGACAGCTGAACTCAAAAGAGCTGCAATCAACAGTTCAGTATCTAAGAGGAGACTAGTGAAAAATGGTATCCTCAGGGGTCAGTACGGGGACCAGTGCTGGTCAAAATCTTTGTCAGCAACATGGACAGTGGGATCAAGGATCACCTTCAGCAAGTTTGTTTTTTTTTGCCACTGACACCAAGTTGTGTGGGGCAGTTGACATGCTGGAGGACATGCATGCCTAGCAGGTGGGTCCATGTGAAAGTTCAACAAGGCCAAGTGCAAGGTCCTGTCCCTGGCTTGGGACAGTCAAAGCACAAATACAGGCTGGACAGAGAAGTGATAGAGAAGGACGTGCGAGTGTTAAGAGGATGGAAACTTATCATGACCTGGCCATATATATTWGCAGTCCAGAAAGCCAAGTGCATCCTTGGCTGCAAAAGAAATTTGGCCAGCAGGTAGAAGCAGGTGATTGTTCCTCTATTCTGTCCTCAAAACACTCCATCTGGAACACTCCTTTCAGCTCTGGGGCCCCCAAATAAGAGGGATGTGGGCCAATTGGAGGGAGTTGAGAGAAGAGCCATGAAAATGATGAGAGGGATGGACCTCCTCCCCTCTGTGAAGACAGGCTGAGAGAATYGGGGCTTCAGAGCATAGAGAAGGAAGATCCAGGAAGCCCTCAGAGTAGCCCTCCAGTACATGCAGAGAGCCCAAAAGAAGGCTGGAAACAGACATTTACATAGGCACAAAGTGATAGGACAGTGGGGAGTGGTTTTAAGCTAAGAGATGGCAGGTGTAGATTAGGTAATAGGTAGAAATTCTTCACTGAGTGGCAAGGCTGCAAGAGGCTGCCCACAGACGCTGTGCRTACCCCATCCCTGGAAATGTTCAGCCCAGGCTGCATGGAACTGTGAGTAATCAAGTCCAGGTAAAAGGTGTCCCTGCCCAGGGCAGGATGGTTGAAACTAGATGATCTCAAAGGTTCCTTCCAATCCAAACCATTTTATGATGATTCTCTGACATTCTTACCTGTTCCCATGATCTAATCAGACCTTGGAAAGAGTAACTGAACAATAAAACTGAAAATTATTTCTCACATTATGGTCAGACACTGAAAAGCACTGTTCAARTGTGGCTAATTATCGAGGATTTGTAAAAGTGTAATTCCTACAAATTCCATAYATATATAAATTTTAAAATCCAAGCACATAAAATGAGGAATGACTCAATCCTATTAAAAATCACACAATTTAAATATTTAAGTGTATACTTTGCTTGTTTTTAAGTCCGGTACAAGCTGCCATGTTAGGGACTTGCAAATTCATAGCAAAGTTTCATCCTGTATCTCTTCAATTACCTTCAAACTTCTTTTTAAATGTTTAACATGCTGACAAACAAGAATGAAAATTTTGGTAGAAGCTGTACTGTATCAAAGGAGATGAACTAGTCTAGAATGAAGCTACTTAAACTTCTACTTTTATACTTACCCAATATACTGCAATGGGTGGCTCTGATGTATAACAATCCTACAGGTTGGACAGGTGTTGTTTTCCTCGAGATATTTCACTAGGCAGCTCCTACAGACTAGAAACACAGACATTCACAATTAAAAAGGAATAAGAATASCATATAAAAGTAGCATAATAAAAGTCTGGTTTTATACAGTCACAGAAATGCACAYTACTGAAATGTATATGGAATTAATTTTTCTATCGTATGTGCATGATATCCAATCTTGCAGAATACAGTTTTCAGTACCTCTCATTAATTTTCTTGATATAGGGAAGGGATGCACTAGAATTAGGCATCCATACCTATCAAAATCAAATCCTAATACAGCATACAACACAAAATGCCACTTTGGAATTTACTAGAACAACAATTTCTAGCAGGTCACCATTCAGCTTGCATGGATAACATTATAGGAAATATATGCCATCAAGATACTAAACAGGACATACTTGCTTTAACCACGGCCACATACAGAACAAATGGTTGTGATGACAATGARCCCAACAGAAAAAAAAAAAATCAAAGCTGGAAAGTGGATATCTGGATGTTATTTTAATTCTAACTCTCACAGAGTACAGTTAAACTTCCACCAGAAAAAAAATTACATTGGCACAGACTCTCAGTAAAATGTCCTAGTAGGAGTTACTGAAGTAGTCTTTCATTATAAAGCTGCAAGTCTCTCTATGCATACACAAGATCACCCATCTCTCTTTCAAAGTAAACTATACTCTGCTCTCCTCTGTCCTGCCCCAAAACACAATGAATAAAATACACTACTACATGATATCCTGACTCACTTGAAGTTACAACTCAAAAGGGTATGGAGAAAACAAGGGAGGAATAGCTTTTGCTTGAAGTGCAGTAGTTCATGTAGTCTTAGTGTTAATGCATTTATCACAAAAAAACAAAAGGATTTCTGTAACTATAGTGCCATCTACCTCTCAAMCAAGAAGACAGTGCAACTGCATAAACATTAACTAAAAAAGAGTAACAGTAAATAAAGCATAGTAAATTTGTATTGTGCTTTGCATTTACACAGCTAGAATGACAGCACTGTTGGTGGCAGAGGTTAGACAAAACTTTGTAGCTTTGCACACTAAGCACAGATTTCACACAGCAGTTTGTTCCACCAGAGTGCCAGAGCAACAGTTCCATTTGCAAAAGTGAAGCCAAACCCCACTCTTAYACAGTCAATGAAAGCAGAATCTGATAGAAGCAGCAAGTACCGGTATCTTGGAAAATGTATAGGGATATTGCTAACTTGTGTAGGGAAGGGTCAGGAAGGCCAAATCATAGCTGAAGCTGAACTTGGCAAAGGACATGAAGAATTGTAAGTATGTCAGTGAGAAAAAAGTGTTTGAAGAATGTCTACCCCACAGATAAACATGGCTGGCAAACCAGTAAYAATGGACAAGAAGAACGCTGAAGTTCTCATTCTTTTTTGCCGCAGTCTTCTCTTGCAATTCCTCTTCCCTTCCCACACCTCTCCACAAAGCARAGACTGGAGGAGTGAAGTCCCTTCCAGCGTATGAGAAGATCAGCTTCATGAATATCAGGGAACTTGAATGCACCTAMGTCTCTGGGACCTGACGAAATGTGTCCCAGGGTCTTGGGGGTACTGGTTTATGTAGTTGCCAAGCCACTCACAGCAATTGCCCTGACAGTCAGGTGAAATCCCTAGTGACTAGGAAAAGGGAAACACTATGTCCACTTTTACGAAGTGGCAGAGAGGGGGAAACCTGGAAACCACAAACCTGTCAGCCTTTACTYTGTACTTGGGGAGATCACAGAGCAGATCCCCCTAGAAGCTGTGCTAAGGCACATGGAGAACAGGGAGGTGATTCCAGACAGCCACCACAGCTTCATCAAGGGCTCTGAGCAACTTGATGCAGCTGAAGATGCCCCTATTCATTGACTTTTATAAGTCCCTTCCAGCCCAAACCATTCTGTGATTCTATTTACTCTAAAACATCATCCCATGTCAGTACATCTTCCAGTTTGAAGATTCAGTAGGTATACACTAACTCCTCCTAAAATAAATTGATCACAAGCTGGCAAATATTCTGGCACATTTATGAGTCTGAGCAAGCATCCAAATAAATGCAACCAGATGCATTATGAAGGGTACTGCAGCCTTCTAGATTCTTTTTCTCTGAGATCAAGTTGGGAATAATAAACTCTACTGAAAATGGAAGTCTTTGGAGTAATGGAGAGATAACAAGAAAATCATTCCACAGTCTGAAACAACAGTATTACTAGAATTTTCCACTACCTTGATTTTCCCGTATTGCTGATCTCTGTTCACTCAGATACATGGGCACTGACCATGGGTATGAATTGAGCTGTACGTTTTCTGATCCCTTAAATATATCAGAGAGCTTTTACCAGAACAGGAACAGGCAAGGTTAATGCTCTCTTTTTTATTTTAACTATTTCATTTCTCTTGCATTTTTCATTTCTGTATCTAGTTCAAGTTGACCTTTTTACATCCTGATGTATGCTGATAACACTTCTCATCGTGTGAGATTTTTTCCCCTTTCATAACTTAAAAGGACAGCTTTCACATTAAACATTAAAAAACTGTCATTACAAACACAAAGTTTAACAACATCCACATATATCATCTGGTCTAGAATTTTAATCAAGGAACAGATATAAATTTAAAAAATACTTAAGRCTGAGTTACTACTAACAATGTTTTTTGCTACTGCCTTACAGGCCTACCTGTCACCAACAAACTAAAACAGCAGTGAAACATGTAGGAAAGAAAGCAAAAAAATTTTTGTTCTCTCCTGAATTCAGTTTTACAAAAATTGGCCCTGTTCTGRCAGAGGACTGGCCTTGTTCCTCCAAATTACTTTCAACACAGGACTCAAGACTCATTCATTTTCTACTGAATGGCTGAAGATCAGAAAATAAGAGAATAATTAAAAAGGTAAGCAAYAATGAATAAGGTGTGCAGTTCTGAGGAGAACAAAATGAAAACTTCAGGGTGATATAATTCAGAAGAGACTTCATGATCTCAACAGACAATGTAACGAAATGATAAATTTTGCAAGGATGCTTTTCCAGGAACATACATTATTAGTACTATCTTACACAATACAAACAGTGTCAACATGTACAAAATTCTTTAAAAAGACAGGACTCTGTGCCTCTTTTCACAAAACTAATTCTACAGGACACACACTGAAGTAGCGTTCATGAAATATAAACTCTCAAAAAAAAAAAAAAAAAAAAAAAAAAAAAAAAAAAAAAAAAAAAAAAAAAAAAAAAAAAAGGAGGAAAAGGTAGTAAGGTGCATTCCCTGGCTTTTGAAGTAAGCACCGTAGCACTGTAGATTATTCCACATATTTCCTCCATAAGCAAAGATAAGAGATGGTGCAGATGGATGACAGCTGAGGGGGTATTTGCGAGGGTTTTCTTTTTATTTTTAATGAACAAAGAAAAATTACATTCTAGCTCTGTGTTAGCCATGTTAACTTATTATGATACCCATTTTGCATGCAATCTTCTTAGTAGCAGCAATAAAAAAAAATTGGGCAAAACTAAGAAGTCGAGCTTAAGGATCTTCCTCAAAAACCAACACTAAGGAAACTGAGATGCAAAACAAATGCAGAAGGGACATGAGACACTGACTAGTGTATCCAGCTTTGGGGCTCCCGACATATGAACAACATGGACCCATTGGAGCAAGTCCAGAGGAGGGCCATGAAGCTGATCACAGGGCTAGGGCAGCTCTCCTAAGAAGACAGGCTGAGAGAGTTGGGGCTGCTCAGCCTGGAGAACAGAAGGCTCTGAAGAGACCTTAAAGSATCCTTCCAACAGCTGAAGAGCACTACAAGAGAGATGGAGAGAGACTTTTTACAGGGACATGTACTGACAGAACAAGTGGGAATTGCTTCAGACTGAAGGAGGATAGGTTCTGATTAGATATTAGAAAAAAATTCTTTACTGTGAGGGTAACTGGCACAGATTGCCCAAAGGAGCTGTGGACGTCTCATCCCTGAAAGTATTTGTCGTGGTTTGGAATGCTGGCCAAAAGCCACGCACCCACAACA